CTATTGCTGGCCCACTTCCCCCCCCCCCCGCCCCCCCCTAAATGGTTTGCTTTAAGATTAAGCTGTTAAGATTTTCATTTGTCCAGAGCATGGTACAGCTATAAAAAATTAAACACATTAAAATTAACTTGTTCTGTAATAGTGAAGATGTTTGCCAATTATCTTAATTAGCTCCATAGTTCAAATGAACATACTCCAGCATTTACTGCTAACGTGTTTCCCCGAAAATAAGACAGTGTCTTATATTTTTTTTGGCTCCAAAAAAACACACTAGGTCTTATTTTCGGGGTAGGTCTTTTTTTTATGTACGACAATCCAAAGTTAATGCAAATCCAAATTAAATAATCCAAAATGGCAAAGTTAAGAATAGGGTGATCAGGGCAATCAGGGGTGCTGTACCTTTCCAAGAGCATTTTGGCAACCAGAATGAGCGAAGCGCGCTTTCACTATGGATTCCTCACAGGCGGAGTGCATTTGGTATCACTCCGCCTGTGACAGGAGTCGGCGCTATAGAGGAAGCATCGGCTTATGCGGCTCTGCTCCCTCCGCTGCTGCCTTGCTTCCTCTAGCGCTGGCTTTGTTGGCACCGCTGAGTCTCTCCCGCGGCGCTTCAAGTTCCCCCTTATGCCACCACCAGCCCTGGGAAAGGTCGCAACTAGGTCTTATTTTCGGGGTAGGTCTTATATTTTAGCAATTCCCAAAAATGGTACTAGGTCTTATTTTCGGGGTAGGTCTTATTTTCAGGGAAACAGGGTATTAGAATTCCAAAGAATTTGTCAACAAGGTCTGTAGAATTAAGTAGGTGATAGATGAGATTATGGTGTCTTGTGATGTCACATCCGTTTTCACTTGTGTGTCAATGACATTCTCCACACAGTTGGAAAAAGAAAGCTCAACAAAGGACACATAAACAGTACTAAAAACCTAGAAAAGGTTCCAATTAGGGATGTCCCAATACCGATACTAGTATTGTAATCTGGGCCGATACAGGGCATTTTCACGAGTACTTTTACTTATGAAAATGCTCCGATACTAAAGGCTGATACCCGCCCTTTACATTTTTAAATCGGATCGGCTGCCTCAGATCCTGCACTTGTGGGGACTTAAGGCAGCCGGGGCCCTTGCCGTAGCTGTCTTTGACCCTGTCTGCCGGGTCCCACATCTCCTCCTTCCCAGTGCAGGCACAGCTCAAGGCAGCCCCACACCGCAAATACAGCCCCGTCGTGGGCACAAGACATCCCTAGTTCCAATGATTACCCACACTTTTAAAAGAAGTAGCCTTATGCAGATAAAAATGTATACTTATTTAAGGGTAACAAGGGGAAGTAAACGCTGTGACGGGCCTAGGGCTGCAGAGATTCATTGCCCCGGAGAACTTTGTGTGCTGTGTGTGTTCTCCAGTTTAATATTTTATCTGTGGACAGTCGGTCACTATTTGCCTTGATGTGAACCATTCTTCTAAAGACAGCAGGCTGTCTGGAGTGACCATTGTTACAGTGATGGGATTAAGCTCCTCTCTAATTAAGACAATCCAATGCGGCACCTGGCTGTCTGGGGGAGGGAACTGTGCCATGTAACAATGAATGCTTATTGGGGAGAGTTGCGGAGTAGAGAGATAGATTTGAGTGTCATCGTCATGGAGATGGTATTGGAAGCCATGTGTGGTTATTAACTGACCAAGAGAGGAGGTGTAGATAGAGAAGAGAAGGGGTCCAAGGACAGAGCTGATTGTGTCAGGTATAAATTCTGTGTGCTCTGCCTCAATAAAGAAGTTCATGTTTCACTCCAAAGTCAGTATTGTCTGATTCTTGGAGTAAGCTCCATGCCATAGTCACTGGCTTCTGGTTCCAGCACCCAGGGAACAGGCCTAGGACGGAGATATCCAGTCGGGGGATCAGGGAGTCCGTCACAAACGCCTCCCCCCAGCGTAGACACAAACAGAATAATATGCATGCAATTGGCTAGCATTCCAATTTATCTTTCTAAATCCTAAACTACATACCTGCCTGCCAGGGACCCAATAAAGTGTTATGTAACAAGAGTGGCTGTTGACTCTGAAACTGTACAATGTTCAGTTTACGTTCAAACAGCACTAACTGCAAAGTTTGTTCCACAGTGCTCCTATAACCATGTGCTTTTTGCAGCAGAAAAACAAGTGAATTGTGATCTGCTCTATAGTAACATGGACCCCATACAGTGTTGCAGTAGAATTTTCTTACAGTATTTTTTTACAGTACTGCATGTTTGCCCTTAATGTTGTTAATTATATTGACCCAGAGTTGTGGTCTTATATAAACTACTTTTACTAAGCAACCGGGGTGAGCAATTTGCCTTGTTTTCTTTAATTTCTAATGAACTCTTACTACACCAGATGCTGAGCAGATTAAGCATGACCCTGTTCGGGAAGAGAGCTTTGGCAAACTGTCCTGTGATTGTGTTTAATTGAAAAACTATCATGTCAAAAGAAGCTGCCCTACTTTAACAGAAGACACGAGTGAGTGAAAGCTTGGCCATCTCACCTCCAATGAACTCTACTTCCAGCAAACATAGGGCTACAAGATATGACACTTTATACACCAGACTAAATTGCATACATATTAATGCCCACTAGTCTGTGAAATGGATTGATGCTTTTACATGTTGTAGGGGAAGTCTAGGTATCAGATAAAATTACCTCTCAGTGATTCCCATAGTTCTGCACCACAATCTACTAGTTCTTCCACCGTCCAGATATTGCAGAGGTATGCATAGAGTTTTCTGATGTAAAAGTGAAACTATACTAGATTTGGATCAATTTTAAGTAGCTTTTTAGGTTCTAATGGTACTAAACTCATGTTTTAGTACGGTTTTGTTTCGTTTTTTTTTTAACTTTACGTACAAAATCTTTCTGCTACAAAATAAACATTAAACGAAAAAGGGTTCTAACAACACAATGGGTTATCTAAAGAGAAAACAGTAGCTGCATGCCTGCGGCCTCCCTTCATCTGACTGAAACCTCACACACAACCATCCAATAATGGATGAGTCGCTGCAAAGTACTAGTACCTTGCATTTGCAAATTGCAGTCTCAGCTACAGAGCCCTGTGGACCTGCTATTTTCTTCAAAGTGAGCTAGAAGGGCTTGTAAGGATGTAAAGACAGCTGAGAATTCCATTTGCTGTCTAGAAATACAAAATATTAGCCAACTAAAAAAAAAGAAAAATGTGTTGTTTTTTTAAATTTATTTTGGTAATTACTTTAAAAAATACAAGAAATTCAATAGCAATAAAAGCTCCAAACATTTCCTATACAATTGCAGAGAATGCAAGTGAAGTATCGGAAACTCAGGCCAGGACTGACACCCTTGTGACTCTTGAGAATTTGGGCTAATATGACTACCCAATGTTTCAAAAATGCCCACTTTTCTGTTAAAGCATAACTGTATTCATAAGACAACATTTCTATCACTTCTAATGGCACCGTGATTTAATTCCCCTAACCATAACTTGTTAATTTCATTCTAAGTTGGTATGCTATAAGGACTGCTGATATGCAAATAGGCTATAATAAACTTGGCACATAGGTGACTTGTTGGTACCAGCCATAGATAAAGATCAGTGGGAGGCATGCGTCTCTGTGCCTGCCCCAAAGACAGCTATGACGTGGTAAATAGCTGATTACACTTGAAGCCATAGCAGATCCACCAGATGAGTGAAAAGGGATACACACAAAACATACAGTATGTACAACTGCAGTAAGACAAAACTGTTAACATGCAACATATAAATATTTACTAAGGTAATGTCAGTACAGTGGTACCTCAGTTAGCGACCGCTTCTGTTCACGAACAATTCGGTTTGCGAACAGGAAGTTCGGCAAAATTTTGCTTCCGTTCGCGAAAGCACCGCATCGGGTGATTAACACAACCGCAGCTATCTTCCCTGCACTGACACATGGTCGTGGCTACCTCTAGTCGAGATCGCGGTCTGATCATAGTTGGATTCGGTTCGCGACCAGAAACCACTGTACATTTAACACATGGCAAAGGGTTCTCAGAAGAATATGGGTTAGCTAATAAGACTGTATAGTAGGTACAGCATGTATTTAGGCAAATTATGAAAATAGTCAAGTTAAAACTTTGGACTGAGCCATCTGAAAAGGAATGGATCACTGTGATGAATCAATCACTTTTTATGTTTACATTTCAGCTTGAGCTATTTAGTTCTGTAGTCAATAGGCCTCTTTTCATTTAAGAAACAGAAGACATCAGAGGTGTCTAAAGCTCCATCTGCTTCCTTAAGCTGAAGAGCTTTCACTACCTTATTGTCACCCACTCATGCCTTGTGCACCTGTCTACATCAGGCTTGCTCAATGGTGTCACATTTTATTGTGTCCCTTCACCCTACTTTACCCAACATGCTGTTACAGATCACACTCCTACTCCTTGATCTTCTTAAATATGGGCGGCAAAAGATAGAACTCTTATTAATCATATGGGTTGGGATCTGCCATTCGGGTCATGACAGTAGACCTGGATCTCAAAGTGGCATCTACAGATGCAGAAATGTCCTTCTCTTTTTGGCAATGAATCACTACCAGTTGAGAAATAACAAGGGGAGGTGGGCAGAAGATTCTAGTTTTACTCAGAGAGATGAAGTGTGTTTTTATAGCATGAAATCCTAATTGATGCATAAAAGAGATGTTTCTGGATTAAAAGCTATGCTTTAAGAAAAGTTTTTATTTTCAACTGTCTTGTCAGTCACCATAATACAGTGAAGAGGATGGGCAGGGCCACCTGGATTTAAGGGTGTAAATATGTACGTATATGCTTTACCAGGTTCAATTTAGTAAAGAAACCCCTGACTTCAATAAGCCTGGAGTCCTTTTTTTTAAGATAAAATATACATTAAAACAATTACATACAAAACTACATACAACAGCATAAATGTTTGTGGAGATAGTATTGTTACTGTAAAGCTATGCAAGTCAATGTTTTGCTGAAAGAAAATCATGTGCATATGTGCTAGGATGACTTTTTGCTTGTATAATTTGCATTTTTTTTCTTTATGGCTAGAAGTACCATTGTTTTCTTGGTGCAGAAAAAGTGACGTACGTAACTTTACATTAACATAGGTAGTACTTCCTGTAGAAAAAAAACCCCCCAACTATAAGCAAAAAGGCATCAGGAAGCATTTCAAAAAGTCATCTGATTCACATATGTGATACAGGCAGCAAAGCCTGTCCTTTGAAAACTATCCGCCCTTTCCGAACGACATGTTAGATTTTCAATGTCTCGTTATGATCTCAGAATGGGGAGGGCAACTACAGTGCAGTTTTCTTCCTAAAGGAGAGGGCATAAAGCAGCAAAGTGAGAGACGGGCTGTAGAAGGGGGAGGGTGAAATAAATCATCTATATAAGTCTTTTGAAAACCAAGGCAACTGAGCAAGGGAATATGCATTCACATGTGAATTCATGCAGCACAGACAAAGGAGTCACTTTATCAGTGTCCCTGGAGAACGGAAACAAAATTGATGGGCATGGGGAGCTGGCAAAGTAAGGAATGCAAGCACTGATAAGCCACAGGTGCAAACTGCATCAAACAGATCTCCATACAGCAGGAGCATACATTACTTCCACTCCTAAGGTAAGACATTGCTTTCTAACTAGGACTCTATATCTGAGAAATGATATGGGATTTTCAGGGATACAGTTTTTATTGTTGTTTTGTGCTGCTGAAATGTATTTTTCTATATGAGAAAAGACAAAAAGCATGATACTTACTACTGCTAATGAGAAGAAATAAACTGTATAGAAAGAGTTGAATATATTACCAGCAAACTGATGACACAGTTGTATAGACACTAGTGCACTGATCATTACAACTTGGCATATGCATGGCAAAAATAAATAGCAGTTATTTAAATTATTAAATAAAAATCTATTCAAGGAAAAGACATTTTAAAAATGATGTTCTTGGAAATATGCCACAAGAAATAGAATATGACCATCAAGTAACAATGGATAATATCCTGCAAAAGTACAGGGATATTCTATGTAAGATCGAGCAAGTGTAATAAGCCATAGCAACAATTCAGTCGGGTACCTTGTACTGTTAAAAGCTGAAATGTGTTGGGTCTTGGTTACAGCACAAAACTGCCTTTTCTTTCCAAAGGAGGTTTAGCCTTTGGGAACGACAATGGTTTTATTGCAAGTGTACAATTAAGTAATTTGTATAGATATGTAAATATATATATCACAGGCAAAAAGTAAATAAAAATAGACACACATACACACACATACAAGTGACACACGACACACATACAGCTGTACGAGAACGGATGCCAGAGTCAATCCATCATAAAGCCTTTTTGCTAAGCTGTAGTATGTTAAATGAACTCTGCAGCTGTCTCATACATACCTCTGTCACCAACACAAGAATTCAGATTTAAGGGAGGGCATTTACAAGTATATATTTAAAATAATCCAGCCACTAAAATGTATCTATTTATGTTAAATTGAAAGTAGAACCCAAACATGTTAACCCTTTGAACCTAATATACTATGCTAGGAAATGATGATGGCCCCATGTGACAGATGAAAGACAAAAGATACAAACTGTGCCACAAGCTGACATATAAGCTCCATTTAGCCATATACAGTACATAATGGATGTGCATCAGTAACACTGAAGATTGCTAGTGGTGTTGACGTAATAGCATGTGGGCACAAAGAGTTATTCTAGCACAATACAGCTACAACAACAGATTATACAGCACCTTTCTCACAGAGGAATCAAAGCCAAATATTTTTACTGAAATAAATACATTCACCTGACAAAGAAAGAACAGTTCTTTAGATCTTCAATAAACATGAACTGTTGAATTAAATATAAGCAAAAACATTTTGAAATGACAATGGTAAAAAGCATGCTGGGCAGCCAAATACCCAACAGATGATAAAAGATGTCTATTGTACGATCTTTGGTAAAGAGAAGCACTTACATAGTGGCTGTATACGCTCACAGACTTCACATGGAGGGGGCAATTTCACGGCATACACAAGTGGAATACCTGTAGATTAGTTCTACAATAGGCTTCTGTACTGGTGCCTTCATTACATATGCGGTGTGGAGAAATAGAATGGACTACTACTACGAGTACATCTGATGCTGGAGTGTAGACTTTTGAATACAAAGAGCCTAGCAGTTCATTGGCAGAACTGTCCTGTAATATTTAGCATAATAAAAATAATAATAATAATAATAGGATGCGTTCCTAGCTCTAGTAAAGTATTTTTAGTTTACTATAAAATGGAAAAAAATACTAGAAAAATGCATAAAAATCATCCAACTCTGAAATCCTTTGTCTTGCCAAACAAAACCACAGCAAAAATATAACCTCTGTCTGCAAACAGTGTACATCTGCGAGCACTGTGGCGTATCGTATACATATAATATGTTATGACAGCATTGTGAAAATTAGAATGACAACATAATTATGTCAGCGATGATGTCAAATTGGTTTAGTCTCCAAGAATATGACAATATGTATAGTGAAAATAACCACAGCAGATAATCTGATTGAAAAAAGGTGTATGTTGTACAACATTGCCTCTTTCTCTATTGTTCTCTCAAAACTGAGCACCATACACCAATCAGCCATAATATTATGACCGCTGAGAGGTGAAGTGAATAGGATTGATGATTTTATTACAATGGGACCCGGAAGTGGGTGAGATATATTAGACAGCAAGTAAACATATTGTCCCTGAAGTTGAGGTGTTGAAAGCAGTAAAAAATGGGCAAACATATGGATTTGGGCAACTTTGACAAGGGCCAAATTGTGATGACTAGACAACGGAGTGAGAACAACTCTATAATTGCAGCTCTTGTAGGATGTTGTCAGTCTGCAGTGGTCAGGAACTACCAGAAGTGATCCAATGCAGGAAAACTAGTGAACCGACAACAGGTTCATGGGCAGCCAAGGCACATTGATGCACATGGGTAGCCAAGGAGGCCCAACCCTACAGCTTACAGGGCTTAAAGGATCTACTTCTGATGGCTTGTTGCCAGATACTACAGCATACCTTCAGAGGTCCAGTGGAGTCCACGCCTCGTTGGGTAAGGGCTGTTTTGGCAGCAAAAGAGGGACCTATTCAATAATAGGCGGGTGGTCATAATGTTATGGCTGATCTGTGTACAAAACAATGCCACCGATCGCTGTGAATGAAGTTGCCCAACATGTACTGTAGAGTGTAAGCATTTGGACAAAATAAAGGTGTCAGGGAAATGAGGAATTTAATTATCAATATAAATAAAAGATCTATGGACTATGGTTGCCAATTTTGTAATTTATTAATAATCTTGGCCGATCTCTTAAGGTATAGCTTGGTTGTGAAGGAAATTTTAATTAAGGTACGGAAAAACAACCGAACAGTATATGTACATTTTTTGTATACAAATATTAAAATTCTTTGGAGAATGTGTAGTTATTTCTCACTTTATTATTTATTGGATAAAATAGGATATAGGATAAAAACCAAAAATGATACTTTTGCTTAGCAAGTAAATATAGCACATTATTATTTGCATTCTCCCAAATCAGCAGAAGGAGCTTTTCATGTTCCAAGGCCTTTCCATACAAAAGATCCACTTGTATGACTTGCTTGACTGAAGGAAGTGCACTTTACACACAAATAACTTGGTAAAGTTTGCATTAACAAAGGGCGTATACACTTAGATGATAAAACCATTCTTAAAGTAGAAGTAAACTGACAAAAAAGAAGTACTTGGTAATGCTGTTTGGATTTAAACAGAACATTGTTTTTGTATTCCAGAACTTTAATTGTCACCTCATCTGAAGAAATTCCTCAAGATACCATGGTCATATCTGTTCAGAATATTACAGCCAACACGGCTGTGGTCATTTGGCCATCAATGTCAAGCTGTTCTGACAGCTTCTATAGTATCATGTATCAGTCAAACTGGAATACAATGTTGTCTGGGTACTCCAAGGAGAAATTTAAAGAGGAGCGGATTCCTACAAGCCGGACATTGCATACTGTTGAAAACCTCGCCCCTCTCACAACATACATTCTGTGCGTGACTTGTCAGTCTGCCAATCCATCCAGTGACCAGTGCAAAGTCTTTAACACTTTAGGCCCAGACCCAGCAACTGTAAACAGCAAGAAAAAAGATCTAGCACTGGGTATCTGGCTCACAAGCAGCATTATACTCCTCATTATAGCCTGTATCTTAATCTACGGCTGCTTACATATATGGTGGCGGAAACGTCAGGAACGTGCTTCGGCCCAAAATGCTGAAAGCAATGATAGGAACAAAAGACAGGCCTGGACAAAAAATGAAGAACCAGTAGAGGAGTATGAGAAGCCAGGCCTGTTAGCGGTGGCAGAAGAGGACAAGAGAGAAGATGTCTGTGCAGACAACACCCAACAAGACACACAAAAAGATCCTTTAACAGGAGATGAAACCAACAGCCTGAACTGCACTCATCCAGAACAAAAAGTTGTGCAACTAACTGCAGTGAACTGACGATGGCCATACTTCAATGCCTCACATGATAAAGGCCAGTGGTTAGTGTGTCACCTGACAAGAGCCAGTCTTCAATAGATCACCAATCAAGTATCCTAACAGCATTAAATTAGAAACATCAGCTATTGCTGAGATAAAGCCTAAGGTTACAGATATTTACTGTGGACACATGTGAGGATCTGTGGAAAAGGGCTGGATAACATGATAAAAACGACCTTTGCACTCTCCATTTCAAATATTTTGCTATTAAAAAGGAGAACTATGGGTTTTTTCCCCATAGTTCTCCTTAGGGTAATGGGAGGACACAAACTAGCGTCCTCCCGTCACCCTAAGCTCAGTATACCGCCAGCTGTAGCTCGCGGTATACTGAGACGCCGCAGCTGAAGCGGATCCCGACAATTGTGCCGGGATCCGCCCAGCTGCGTGACTGACAGCTGGCTCTGCCTACCTAGAGGCAGAGCCAGCTGTACCCGCCCCCTCCCCCGTCCGATCAGCCAGTCCGTGCTGGCAGATCGGAGGGGGGAATCCAGCCCCTCCCCTGTCACGGCAGAGAGCCATGACAGGATCGAGAGGTGAGCGAACGCCGGTATATGTTCGCTCACCTCCCGATCTACTGAGCCGACCTGTGACAGTCTCATTGTCACAGGTCGGCTAGAACTATGAGGTGAGTGAAAAGCACTCCCCTCATAGTTCTCCTTTAAGTATGCTCAGGATTCATGATTTCAAACCTTATACTAACGGAGACAAAAAGGTCCATAAACATGTAAGAGATAGATTGCATCAATTCTATCTAATATTTCATACAAACATCTGATATTGCGATACACAGCTACCATCTAAAAGGGCCGCAAGTGTTGTCTCTTTCAGTATGGCATATTCATCACTTTGGTAATTATAGGTTTCAGATATAGAAAATGTATAAGAAGTTCTACTTCATGCATTAATCTCAAATCTTATGTAGAATGTTATCGTTGACTTATTTAAAGCTTTAAAAAAGGGAATAGATCATATTCACATCGATTTTAGATTTACAGGTAAAAAAAAGATCTGTTTGGTGTAAATTATGTTCTCATTGTGTGAAAATGTTTCAAACAATACATACTCTGGCTCTGCTTTCTATTTGCAGTACTACACAGTGCCTCTGCTTTACTGTTAATTCTTTCAATGCAAATCAATCAGTTTGCACTCCTTGTGTGGCTGATCCCTAATCTCAAGCATTTATTTAGCAGTAAGGCAAAATCATTAGTAGACAATTTATCGTGGCTGTAGGGGCTTATCAGCTACATTTAATACAAAAACAAAATGGAAAAACAAGTATGTAAAAATATTTTAAAAAGTCACTTTAGGGTTAACACTGTAAAAGTAAGTTTTAATGCACTATATTTTCCCTTTAATGCAAAAGGCTGTAACAAAAATAAGATGCTACATAAAAAAGGTATTGGTCTATCAATTATATCTATCAGACCAAATGCTAACTGGAAATACAATTATTCTGTGTAATTAGGCATGCAAATTGTCATTGTAAAACAAACTAAATGGTCTACAAGACTAATTTTAAGAGGGTGGTGTAGAGCGGATGGCTGAACAAAACAAATGATCACTTATACATACTTTTTCATAGTCAACAATGAACCTTTGTTTTTTTTATTCCATTGAAATTGTTCATGACACATTATATATATATATATATATTTATTTGTTGTGTACTTTCCACTTTGAAAGCAGAGCATAAAACAATGTATGTACCATTACCATAAAATGTATATTATATTAACGATGGGTTCCTTACCTGTTGAAATATAGAGGTTTAGGGCCGGTTCACTTCATCGCCAGTGCATTCTGGCACGGTTAGTGGCCAGAACACACTGAATCGCATAGTGGAAGCCTTCCTGCAGAGCAGGAGGTGCGTGGCAGTGCCATTTAAGTCAATGGCACCGTAGACATGCCCCCTCGCCCGCACCAGAACACAAGTACAGTAATGCCATTGACTTGAATGGCATCACCACGCCTCCTTCCAACCCAGAATGCAGGGAGGCTTCCCCTATGCGATTCAGTGCATTCCAGACAATAACCGTGCCAGAACACACTGGAGATGGCGTGGACCCAGTGTTCTATCGAAATGGCCAACTCATCACGTCACATCCGATGATTTGTCAGTAGAAGATTTAGATGATGGTGCTAGTGTGTGTGCGCCAGCCGTGGCAGATCCAGAATTCCCGTTGAGTTCTCCAATTCCCACCAGTGTGCCTGTGCGGCCATTCAGAGAGCATCTTCTGCTAACAGATTTCATGTTGTGCCATAAGGTGGGCGCGCAGTAATGGTAATTTGAGAACTTGATACTGCTCTTGGGTGGCCGCCCAGACGCACGGAAATTGGAGAACTCAGAGGATTGTAAAGCCACACAGGCGCACTGACGGGAATTGGAGAAATTGACGAGGATTCTAAAACTGCCACAGCTAGTGCATTAGCACCATCTTGTTGGAATCTCCTACTGCCAAGTCACCGGACGTGACGTAACGAGTTGGAAATCTCGATGAGTTGGCCCTTTCGATAGTACACTGGCATAAAACTAGAAACATCAAAATATTAAAATAAAATGATTCAGTGCTAGATATTGATTACAAGTGGTAGGTGCAACAATTTTGTGTGTTGCCATATTCTATAACCAAGGGAAACAGATGAGCAACACTGATATTATCCCAATAACCCCTTAAGGACGGGGAGGTATGTCAACGTAGGAAGCGCGGGGGAGGGGGGTGTCGGCCCGTTTACCGGACTATTGAAGCTATCTGGCGGCACCTGTGCTGCCAGAATTGCTTCTACTGTAAAGCCGGTCGCTGGCTCTACAAAACTGAACAGACTCGACGCTAAAAGCCACCGGGAGTCTGTGTAACCCCTTCAGATTTCATGACGGGATGGGTCGTGAAGGGGTTATAGCTCAACTCCAGGCAGATATAAAATACGCAAAATGCAGCTTAGTATTTAATAACACGTCATTACATCTCTTTATTTAAATGCAAGCCGTATAAGTATCTACATTTGACTTGGTATCAGAATGCTGCAGGTCTTGTGCAATACAGCTCATATGGAGAGAGAGAAGCAGCACAAGGAACCAATCAGATTTGCAGCAGTGCTCACGTGCTATCAAGGATCATACTGATAGGAGGAAGAGGAGAGCAAAGTGACAAAGAAATGAGCTCCTCAATCTGCTGCTTCTCCTGTCCAGTCACACGCTGGGGAACGGAGAAGACCTGCAACCTTAACTTAACTGCAGCAGAGAATAATCAGGTCTTTTGCCCTGCCAGACAAAGCTGTGCACCAGGGCTGTGTAAATCTCAGAACTGGATGGATAGAAATACAAATCCTTTGAAAGGTAAAATGGCTCCTTTATATATATTTTATGTGTTCAGTGGTTCAGCCTTAATAGAAATAAAGTAAGGGAAAAACAGTAATGGAAAATACAACAGAAAGGCCAATGAAATGAAAATAATAGATGGGAAGAGGTGATGAAATGAGAAGTGGTGTGGAGGCAGAATCAGCTTTGATGCCAATACTTTCATAATGAATAAAAATATGTTCTGCAACACCACTCAATGAAGGACTTAAGATATTTCTCTGCATTGTCCTCTACATAAACTTGCACCAAACATATCACCGAGTATGAATCCCAAAACCTCACTGTGTTTCTTGCTTTTTGTTGTTTTTAAAGTAGATCAGATTAAGATTTATTTTGTTAATCTCTGAAATACCCACACACATAATAAAACATAAGATCCCTGAGCTTTACTCTGTAATCAGCTACCAAGTTGCACTACAAAGTCCACTGTGGTGTGATATTAGAACAAGCCATTATACAGAGGGATTAAGCCTAACATATGTTTGTATATAAATATGTTTGTTCTTATGTATTAAAAAAATGTCTAAAATCAATAAAAACTGAATTTAAGGCTGCAAATTTGTTTTACTGTGTGAGATCTGTGTTTGCATCTATAGCAAGTGTTAAAGCTGAACAGTACCCAAGCATCAAATGTTTCATTCTTTTATTTTTATTATTTTTTTCTAGATGCACGTGCAGGAGAGCTAACGGTGCATCAATGGCTACATCAGTTTAGATCTGTATGACAGCAATAAGAAAGGCAGGTGAATGGGGCACAGCAGCTGTTTTAACATGCTAACTCCTTGCAGAGGAGGGTCATATAATCCAAAGCATTGATAATACTCAAAACTGGCTACACTTCAGCTTTGAGAATTATCAATGCAATAGATTACAAACAGCACTAACGGGTCAACAAAAGTATGTTGACCGATGTAATGGAGCCCAGTGGACCCTCTGTATGACTCTGTTGCAGCTTTAGTCATGTAAACATGAATTTCTACATGACAAACAAATGAAAAGTGAACTACACCTACTGTACAACAAACAGGTTTATGGTAACCTCAGCAACAAACAGGTTTATGGTAACCTCAGCAACAAACAGGTTTATGGTAACCTCAGCAACAAACAGGTTTATGGTAACCTCAGCAACAAACAGGTTTATGGTAACCTCAGCAACAAACACGTTATGGTAACCTCAGCAACAAACACGTTATGGTAACCTCAGCAACAAACTCGTTATGGTAACCTCAGCAACAAACACGTTATGGTAACCTCAGCAGTGTCATAGACCTGCGTTTTGGGTTTTTTTCACAATTTTTTTTAAAATGTATCATTATCAATCTAATTTACAGATAATATGCAATGTTACAGTATAAGACAATGCTGACGTAGCAGCTAATCCATATATTAGAAAGATATTGCTGGTAAATTTTCATAAAGTAAATAGATTTGGGATTCCAATAAATATATTCGGAGCAAAGAAAGAACAACTACTGGAACCTTTTATGTAATATTGTCTGTACTGGGGACCTTAAATTGGTCCTGGAGCAAGTTGTGTATTGAATCTTTGGTGATAAAACTTAGGAAATAGAAACTATTAGGGGGACAGTCGGGTATTAGAGTGGGAGGGTTATCTCCTTAAGGGGGGTTAGGATATGAAAGGGTACAGTGTAGGGTGTACAATGACTCATGTAGAGCAGGTGAGTTTTCCACTGGTTGTCTTATCGGGGTTTATCAAGTTGTTAACAGGGTCAGGTCAAAATGTCATGGTCCGATGTAAGAGATCCAGGGCCCCCAAACAAGACCTGCGTTTAAACAAAAAGGCTGATATGTTTCTCTGCATATTAGGGATGCACTGATACTGGTATCGGTACGGATACGGAGTAATTGGACAAGTACTCACCCAAATGCTCCCGATGCCTCTCGGGATACCGGAACTTCCGGTATCAGGAAGTCGGGCGGCGAGTCATTACACGTGCCAGGCTTCCTGATTGGACATAAAGCAGGCTCCATGCTTCCTAGTCACCTGGTGACGAGGGAGCATGGAGATGACTTCCCAGCTGATCGGGAGGCCGGGCGGCATGTAATGACTCGCCTCCCAGCTTCCTCTCTTATCAGAAAGCCAGGCAGCAAGTCATTACACACCGCCAAGCTTCCTTAATGGGACTTCCGGTATCAGTATTGGTAAGCACCAAAAAAAAAGTATCGGTGCTCGATACAGAAAACGAATTTTCGCCCTGCAAATCGTTTATGAATAGACCCCTAAGTGTGCTAATGCAGCTGCCTTATTACTAGGCAAAAAAAAACAGCTCAAACAAAAGCTTATTATTAGGGCTGCACAAATTAACGATTAATTTCTCGATTAATCGTTAATCTTTTTGATCGGGCAAATTTTTTTTGATCGCTAATGAAAATGCTCACCTCTCCGTCGGCTTCCGGGAGTCCCGTCGGAGATCCGGTGACGTCACGGACATCGAAGTCACCTGACTCCTCCCCCAAGTGGCTCTGTCGGCTAACGAAGGGAAGGGGGAGGAGTCCGGTGACGTCGATGTCCCCAAGTGCCTCCGTCGGCTAATGAAGGGAAGGGGGAAGGAGTCAGGTGACATTGATGTCCCCAAGTGGCTCCGTCGGCTAACGAAGAGAAGGGGGGGGGGAGTCCGGTGACGTCGATGTCCGTGACGTCACCGGACTCCTCCCCTCTTCCCTTCGTTAGCCGACGGAGCCACTTGGGCCGGTGAGTTTGCCCAAGAAACTTTCTGCACGAGCGCCAGCCAAGGCATTGGCCTATACACATGCAGCACAGCAATGAAGTAATAAAATGAACTAGGATCACACTAATCCAGCACATTATTATTCCGAGTTGCCCCACATATTGAGTGGGGCACGGGAGTTTAATAACGTGCTGGATTAGTGTGATCCTAGTTCAATTTATTACTTCATTGCTGTGCTGTATGTGTATAGGTCAATGTAGTTTGATCTGTATGTGCATTATAATTAATCGAATAATCGATTTTAAAAAATTTTGATTAATCGAACACGAAAATTTTAATCAGTAACAGCCCTACTTATTATACCTTATACCTAAAATAGTAGCTTTCCTTTAAGTGGATAATAAGGTTTGTAGTAAGTCAAACAAGTCGACTCAAATTAAATGCTCTTTCACACTATAGTCTGTTGAGGATACAAGAAAGGTAAACTTCCTGAAGACTGGCCTTACACACTTAAAAAAATAATAATTCTGTGAGTTCACACCACATAGAAGAGAAGATCAAAACATGCATATGTTAAATAATACTAAAATTACATAAGAAGAGGACACTGTAAATAGGGACATTACACCTCATTTATATCATTTGCACTTATACAGGACGGAATCTTCATCAAGTTCCTGGCAAATACACAAACTGAGGTGGTAAGGTAAGCTTCCATTACACATATTTGGCCAAGTTAATTCCAAATTCCCAAACATTCTTCTAAAAACACGTGTCCTTACCTTGGAGCCATATAAATATTGTGGTTGTGCATTGGGTGGTTTATCACGTTGAAATTCTTGTGAGAATGGAAGAACTGTACGGACAAATCTGGAGAAATATTCAGAAGAGAAAATGACTAAAGATGCAATATATGGAAAGACATTACAAAAGAGAAATTCAAAGTGTGGAGTGCTCCAACTAACTGAAACATTTATTACATATCAATAACACAAGATATCTGTAAGCTTATGTTGTAGCAATTGATATTGTAAAAATAATAGAATAGAAGACATGTCACAACCCCATATTGTGTTACCTGCACATTAGGAGCAGCAGCAGAGACACTTTCAGCTTTTCTATACACTCACTACTCTTCTTTGAGTGCAGTCATTTCAGAGCCATTTGCTCTTCGCTTATTGCTGATTTTACATTACACTACCTCAGCTGTGGTACTCTAAGGGTTCACATGTTGTTTAAGGGCAATACTTTTCCCATTTAATGGACCGCTTTATTTAAAAAAGAGTTCCGTTCTGATAACTTTAAGTGGTTAAAGCTGAAATCTTGACACTTTCAATTAAATATATTCCTCATTTGCCACAAAGGATATCAATTCACTCGGTGTGCAGCAAATACCTTTGCAAATCCATATCCAGCAGGTTCCCCCCACTACCTGCAGAAAACTACAGAAGGGGGCTGATACAAGACCTGTTACCCTGCACAAGGAAAGAGCAGTAGTGTCTGGTCTTTATTACAGGAAGCTCCTGCAAAAAGGCAAAGTTTCACACTAAGTTTCTTTTTCCAAAGATCTGGAAATACACAGAGAACACCAAGATTTAAATAAGAATACACATGCCTCTTGTATTTAGCCAACATTTGCTGATCTTGGTGTTTAGATATGAAGTACAACTGTAAGCAATCTGAAAAAAACATCACAATGTCCCTGATGAAATAACCAAAATGAAAAAGGACAACAGGGCATTAGGATAATCCCCATTTGAGATCTCCTTCCATTTCCTATACAGCTAAACTATCCCACATCACTGGTAATTTGTTCAACCACTGACTACTTTTAATGCAAGCTCTATACACTTCCCTCCACCACCCCTTTTGCTTCTTCATTCTCGCTCTTTTCTCACTCTCCCAACCAGCATTATAATCCTAACGGCTGCCCTGGGCTGGTAAATACTGAGAACCCCAAAATACTGGATCCTACAATGAAGTAAACAGTAGAACTGTTAACGAGTATACCATGTCTGAGTTGAGACACTTGTTTCTCTAGTGCGTATTTCCCATGTAACCAGCAGTAACCATAACCTGCTGTAGAACTAATCCACACTTTCTGTGAAATATGATATACCCTAGTTTATTGAAACCCAGGCTATAAAATACATTTTTATTGAAAGTTTATTGAAAGTCAAGAAAATATAAATTCCCCCTTGAATCATAAATAAAATGCCTGTAATCTTGCCGGTAGGAACAACGTCCTCAGACAGGGTGACAATACTGAAGCTGCTGCCACTAGGAGTACAGAGCTGTGGGATTGATGCAGAGGAGGATTATTAGTGTCGTCACTGCCGTTAGTGGTAGAATATGCTGACAGTCTCTTGAGCCTACCTACAGACTATGTCTACAGGCACAGGGTTCATGGAAACCTTAGTTCTACAGGGTGATCTACATAATTAAGGAAATTACTCAGGGCACCCTTTGGTCCTAGCTCTGGCAGAATGACATTTTTTAGCCTTTGTTATGATGTCCAGGTGCTTTGAGAAGGGTACAAGCACTCCAGGGACAAGGCAATAAAAAAAAAAAAAAAAAGGTTTTTGGTTTAGAAAGAGGTTTGCGTTCAGAGTTAACCGTTAGCCAGAGATTTAGTAAATTAATTCAGTTTTTACATTTCATAATTCTTTATTTATACATTTATTCTTTATCTACATGGAGACTGAGCTGAGCAGCAATGGTAACAGGAGCTTGGACAAACTAACATTTCTATATCTGCGTGAGCAGTTACAGCAACAGTTTTTTTTTGTTTGTTTTTTACATTCATTCCATGTGAATAAAAGATAACCATTATAAGACACCCTGGCAGAATAGTTCCCATGAGCCATGTGCCTGTAGACTTGTTTCAACAACCTGTCACTATCCCTTTTGAATGACAGCTTGATCTATGCAGAGATAGATAGATATATGATTATCTATCTATCTATCTATCTATCTATCTATGAATATAAAACTAAGGCATGTGAAATTAAAAGCAATTAAGCCAGAATATTATAATGCAATATGTTTCTGCTTCTGCTCCTTAGTCATGTTGCAAGTAACATAATGGAGAATCCCAGAAAGTTAAGAGGATGGTCAGATATCTCACCACTCATAATTCTTAGCAGCACTTCTATCTCTCAATGGCAACCCTAAGACAATAAGGGATCTATTTATAGTTTTTCTTTTACCCAAGATTCACATTTTTGTTTTTCCCTTCGAAAATGTGCGACTATTGGATAAAAGGTGTGTGACTCCTGGGTGCAAACATTTACAAACAGACCCCTAACATATAGAATACAAAAAAAATCTAACCAAACCAATATCATTGCATACACATCTACAACAAAAAGCAACAAAACTTAATGTTAACAGACACAGCAAATTGTGTCCAGTTCCTGATAAACCTATTGAAAGCTGAGCCATGGATGGCACTGTTGACACCACTCTGGTCTACAAAAGTCGATTTTTCAATAAACTTCGGTCTGATAATTCTTGGCCAAACAATGCGGAGGCTGAATACAATAACTGGCAGCAGGGGAATTGTTCATACACTCAGTTTATTGTGGATGGAGTAATCTGTGAGATTTTTAATTTGAAATTTGATTTTAAAATCTATAAGTGCATGGCCAGCCTTAGTTTCAGCATGATAAAGCATTTATGAAGAGTCAACACCAATCATAGGTGCCATTTTGGTAAAGTATGAGATTTAATCAGAGCATTTACCTGTATGTGGAACCATTGTAGCAGTAATTTGGGAGGAAATCATAGTTGAGTTCCCAGAAGACATGAAGGGTGATTCTTCCATAGGGGGCAGAGACATTATGATTTGCTTCCCGAAACATGGCATCAAAGCTGTCCAAGGTCAGGAACTTGCTCAGTAATTTGTGAGTCATTTGGTTTATTTCAAGAAGGCCTTCAAGCTCCTGTCCATAAAGAGAAGGAGTCAAACAAAATTAGTGTTTAGCTTTATTTCATAAACAAGGGTTTCCATTCTACCCACAGATTTAACTACCTCCATCCAACAAAAGATAAAGTTCTACATAAACATGAGAATGTGCAGGCTACGCAAGCTGATAAGACTTTATTTACAATCCTCTCTAATGAAGGTGTTATTTCTCACAGACCAAACAACAAGGCAACAGACCCAGTCACTTTGCCTATGCAGGGAAGTCTTGGAAAAAGGGCATTCCCCCAAGCCCGTTCTACTCCACTTACCTGTGCCCACTAGCAGCTCCTTGCGCCTCTGCTGTTGTATGTTAAATGGGAGGGGAGACTGACTATGTTGGTGACCCTGGGAAGCACTGACCCCACTCCCCTGGTCATGTCACAGTGCTTGAGCACAGCAATTGGCTGCTAGGCCTAGGCACAGTCAGAGGGGAGCAGGTCATATGCTCCTTCATACCTAGAAGTGCTGGGTATTCTCAGCAGCCATGGATGAGCAAGGACCTTTCAGGTAAAGCAGATAAGGTGAATTTATAGGAGTCACCTTGCTCTGCATTAGCAAGGTAGTTGAGCCAAAAAAGAGCACTATACAAATGTTTGAGGAGTCCACTGGTTTTTTTATTTACGTATGTGGCAATAAGAAAACAAATGGCAGCCTGTGTCTTTTTGGGACCACAAATCGCTCTTCATCAGGGCTACAAACACAAACATTGGAATAATAAATATAGGAGACAATGGAGGACAACAGAATTTTAAATACACTGAGTGGCCAGATTATTATGACCACCTGACGTTTGTAGGCAAATTAGCTATAATTTCGCACTGAAGTTGCTAGAGGGCCAGACCATTATAAATAGGGAAGCAGGTTGTTTACCTAGATAGTTGTACACCTCCCTTGCACATCCTGTAGAGGTGCCAGGAGCCAGAATGTGATGCCACCATGGCACCTCTATAGGACACGTGAGGGAGCTGTAAGCAATGCACTTTTGGATAGAGTTTTCTCGCCGCCATAGCATAGCCGTAGCCTACCCCAAGCTGACACTCGTTATCGGGCACCACTGAACACTGACTTTTGGGTCACGACCCACCAGTTGAGCACCAGAACAGAAAATAAAGCTGGCCATACACCTATAGATTATCTGCAGATATTCTATGGTCGGATGGAACATGTGCAACAGATTCCTCCATCTAAGCTAAACTGTGTGGATGGAGAAATCTCTCACTGGGCCAAGCTTCAGCATCTTGCTAGTCGGTCCCGCTGGCTCTCAAAATACCTGAATCCTATCAGATTGTTCTAGTATTTAAGAGACAGCAGGGCCGACTATCAAGATACTGAAGCTTGGCCCAGTGGATGATGCTGGCGACGTACACTGTACGTCGTCAGTCACGAAGGGGTTAAGACTAAATTTCTCCAAAATGAGAAAAATCTGCTATTAGACAACTTTCACCTGAGCAGATCTCCACGTTGGAATATTTCTCCTCTATTCCTGTTCCGACGACAACATTTTGAAGATTTCCTCACTCTCAGTCCCAGTTTCAATGGTCAGCAGGACTTATATAGAGGGCGAATTACTTTAGTGAGAACACAGACAGCAATAAAAACCCAACCGGGGTTCTAACTGTTCCCCACAAAAAAAAAATTGTAAATACACTTTAAGATCTACAAACAGCACTCCCAGATTACAGATGCAGGGTGACCTAAGGGATTCATGAAAAAAGGATTGTGCATTTTTAAATGCTTTCCAATTGAATGCTAATAGGGATAATCATTTATACTAGAGTTTACCGGCTACAATTAAAAATGTTCTATATGGAGGACTTTCATAAACAAACCCTCTGTTCCTTACCACAATGGAAGTAAGATCTTCACTCTCAAATCGTCCAATTGCCAGTTCCAATGACTTGTACATTGCTGCAGTGATCCTTTGAGTAATTAAACGATTGAGATCAATTGATCTGCCCAAGAGCTGAAAGAGGTAAAAGCATTTTTTATTAATTTTAGTTTCTGGTTCAGACAGCTCTAAAGATTTTTAAAGCACCAAAAAAAAAAGTCAAATAGTGAGAGGGGCATAAATCCTGACCCCTGATAGTGCTGAGAGCCACACGCTGTTCCAGATCAATCATATTTCTTTACTTAATTTTTATTGGTTAATCCCAATACCGGTTTAAGGAAATACTAGGTTGCAGACACCCACTAACCTGAACATGTCGCTGCTTTAGCAACGTATCATAGCGGATAGATATTGGTGGTGAGATATTGGCTCCCTGGTTTTTACAATCTGATCGTAGTCGTTTTTCCAAGAGTAAACTGTTAATATAAAAAAAAAAAAAAAAGACAATGGTTATAAGTAATGCATGGACACCAACTGGAAAAATAGAGAGATTGGTGACATACACACCTGCCAGCTACAACTTTATAGTTGGCAAATATTTGGTCAGCTAGTTTGTAGACAAACTGGTCAAAACACAAGTTTACCTAAAAATAGTAAAAAAAAAAAATATAGCATGATAAATGTGAAAAGTGCAAGAATTCTTAAACTGTTAAAACTCAACTTTATCAACACTGGCTGATACAAAAATAAATAGAACGCATTACAGATACAATTGCATTATCTATTTTATATAAGGATTTTACCCAAAATACCATATACCTCCATTAAACAGTGTAAAGTTTCAAGGGTGAGCTGCACATGAACATTGAATACATCCCATAACACTTGGACACATAAACACAAAATATGTTAAATGTTCCAGACCCTTATATGAAGGCAGCTATATTTGGGTTGCAGAGCTTTTCTAAATAATTTAGCACATCAAATTTAAATGTAAGGAGTTTCAGCCTTGGTAATTAAACAGAAAAAAAAGATATACTTACTTCAGCCTCAATCTCATCATACAGGAATTGCTTTTTAAATTTTGTGAGGGCATAGTGCGCACTGTCATTATACAGATCCAGAGAGTAGAGAACATACCTAGCGAAATAATTCAGAACAACATATAATAATACTTCCGATCTCATAACAGTAGCACATGTACAAACAAAGGACTTTTTATACAAAATAAAAATGAAATCATGTCATGTTCTTACTCCATCATGGACGCCTCTTTTGTTTCTAGGATGTGGTCAGTTAAAATCCAGGGCATGGACATATCAATGGGGAACTGAATCCTACGACCCATGGTCAGCTCCAAGAAGAATTCTCTGAACCAGAGCTGGGAAAGATCACAACACTGCTGTAGGGTCTCTTCAAGAAGAAGAAAATATGAGAGCAAATTAATTCAATTAAAGCATTGCCTAACACCATTTCAAAAAGAAGGGCTGCGGAGAAAGCATTGAACACCACATAACAGATGCAGTCTTAGATGCTCTTGTATTTGATATATTAACTTGCAAAAAAAAAAAAGTTGCAGAGAAGAAAAGAAAAAAGTTGTTTTACGCATAGCAAGACAGCCATCTAATTCTTTGCTATAAATGGCAATTGATAAGTGCAAATTTCCAATGGCATCATAAATAACATCAAGCAAATTTGCAAACATAATATTTTACCCTTTCGCTTCTGCTGTGCTCTGAAGTTTGATAAATTAATCTGCAGACAACTGTACACACAGCATTAGAACATCCTTTTGAAGTGCATGTTTTAAGTTTGAAATCTGGTCTTATCATACTATTATCCAAGTCATAATATGTTCAGATCCTAATTACTAAAATCCGCTCTTCATGTATTTTAACACATCGCTTTGAAATTTTATAATCGCATTCATTAGCGTTAAAACAGGCACACACAGCTAAAGCTTGAAAATGCTCGTCAGCGTGCAGTTGTCTGCTATTTAATGGCCTTTAGGGCTTGTTCACACCGAAAGCGTGTGCATTCTAGAGCGGTAGCTGCTGGAACGCACCGCGATCGATGAGAAACTTCTCCTCGCATTTTGGGGCGGGAGGGGGCGTGGCGGTGCATTGAATTCAATGGATCCGCTTCCACCCCCCTCGCAGTGCGATCGGACGCGTGGCAAATCTTTGCTTGCTCTATTTTTTGCGTTTGCAGTGAAACAGAACGCTGGTAACGTTTTGCCACGCGTCCGATCGCAATGCGGGCAGGGGGGCGTAGAAAGGGTTCCATGGAATTTGCGTTCCAGCAGCTACCGCTCTGGAATGCACACGCTTTCAGTGTGAACAAGGCCTTAGTATAGCAATGCAATTGCAGGCAACATGTCTCTCACTCACACATCCTTAAGTACACTCCACCAACATTAGCAGCTATATGGGAGGAAGAATTAAATAGGAATCTATTGCTACCTGACAAGCAGGATACATAAACAGCTACTTCTAAAAGTTCTATGAATTTCATTGAAAAACATTTGATTATGTCAGTATTTTGTTCTAGTGTTGGTAAATCTTCTGAGATTTGTGTACTCCACTATTCTATAGAACTCTTTTGTAGATGATTCACACTAGCGACTTTTACATACATCTGGTATGACTGCCTGAAGGAGAAAACGCTTATAAGCTCATACCTACCAATATACGTGTTTTCTTCTCTAAGTTCTGTATTTACTGAGAGAAGGTTCATGTAACTTTAATTGATGCCGATGTATTTTAGTTAATCATTTCAGTTAGAATCAGGTTTCAAACTAAAGTTAATAACTTTAATTTAGTTAATCACTTCAACTGCAAACACAAGGCTGTGAACCCTGTTACCATCCCTGGTATATCCAAATGCTAGAGAAAAAAAAGTATATCTAGTTGTATATTAAGCTGGCCATACACTGCTTAGATTTCCAAAAGAACTTTATTTCCACTTTCTATCACTTGATGGGGTTAAATCGACGATAGATTTCGACTGTAGTGACGGAAAAACTTGGAGCAGGATGGAAATTTTTTCTCGAACAAACAAAATTCTGATATTTGTTTTCGTTCAGGAACTTCATTCATTCCAAAATCGTACGTTAGAATCAAACAAAATGTTGATAGACATTTGTCAAGTGTCTGCTGGCATTATCGCGTGGTAAAGAAAGTTTTTTCGGAAATCTACTGGTATATGGCCAGCTTTAGCTCGCAGCCAGGGACTACAGATATGATAATTTTTGGCCTGCGGGCTGCTTAGCATTAAACACAACAACTGCATTTATTTTGTTTAAGCATTTATATTTTAAAAATAAAAATCATTTGACAAACAATTTGGTACTAGGCAGATCAGGCATAGGCAGCTACATTCCATCCAGCTTGCTGTCCTTGCATGCACTGCCAGCCATGCTGGGACCTGTATTATCACACGAAAGTAAAAGAAGTTGTTTCTGCTTGATACATAAGACTAACCATGTGTGATGGTCAGTGGTATTTTGAAAACACATCCTGACTTTTTACAGTAATAAATGAAAATCTATTTTATGAAAAAAATTTTAATAATCAAGTGTTTTACACAATATGGTGTAATCTGGTATAATATTTGTATTGTCATAGTATAGATTATACTTATTCTTGTTATGCTTAATAGAAATTTGTAAAAAATTATCTAGTGGTGTCTGATGCCATAACAAAATCCTTGTCCAGCAAACTGTTTTATACAGCTCACTAGCCTTTCCCATAGATCAATAAAACAGTATTTTAGGTATCTGTGGAAAAGGTGTTGGCAACTAAAAATAAAGCGGGACCCATTCTAAAATACAACAAAACCTCCTGATAAAATCTGCAAATACTTTCCATGCTCTGTTATTAATCACTATCTGCAAATCAGCAGAGCGTTCACCTGCAAACATTTTTGTGACAAAAAAAAAGCAGCATGATTCATCAGGGAAAACTACTGTACAGCAACTAAAACTTATATACCAACATATGGAAATGTTACCTATATAGAATACAGCAGTTTGCTTATTTATATAAGCAAACCTTAAAATGTATCAAAACCAAAAGGACAAAAATGTAATATACTGCATCCTAGCAGTCGTTGGATATGTGGTAGCTACATTCTTTTTTTTCATGCTAGGTACTGAAAAATACCTGCTGATCCTGCCAGAAATCCAGTAGGCTTGAAACTTGTGCAATGAACTGAAATAGTTTTCATTTGTGAGCTCTCTTCAGCTCTACCTAGTATGGAGCTGAATAATGGGGCTAGTGTTTGTTGCTACTGTTTCGAGTACCTATATATATATTTTTTGGTAATCGCCAACATCAAATACCTGTATTAGCATCCCGAGGTACCGTGGGCCCAGCTTTCCGATTGCCTGGGAAAGCCAGTGTTCTATCGAAAGAACAACGGCTTCGTGCTCCCTTGTGACCGGCTTCCTTGTCCTGACCAGTCAGAAAGCCGGATGGCGGGTCATGACCTGCCGCCCGGCTTCCCGATTGAGGCAGCCTGGCTTCCTGACCAAAGTGTCACTAGGCAGTGTGAATCCAGCTGCTTGCCAATCAAGAAGCCGGGAGGGGGGTTATAACGAGCCGCCCGGCTTCCCTAGTCAGGAAGCCAGGCTGTCTAGCGACAAGTGAAGCCGGATTCCTAGCCAATCAGGAAGCGGGTCACTGACTACTCTTGCTGTTCTACAGTTCAACCCACACATTCGCAGTCTTGTTTCAAACATAAAACAGCCTCCTTTTAGGTTTTTTTTCCATGCAGTTAATGTGTACCGTTCTATATATCGTTCTAATACTACAGTAAGCAGCAAGGCATATGCCTGGTTAGCAGACAAGAATTAGTTGTTGAATATGAAAAACACAGCACATACACCGCACCACCTAACAAGCAAGGTTAAAGTTGACGTCACACCACCAGCATTGAAATTAGACCATAATCTTACCACTGAAATTAAGCAAGTGTGTGTAGAAGAATGATTCGCGGTGAAATTTTTCTATGTCCAAAATGGTGGGGCCCTCTAGGCTACTCCGCAGCGTTTTCTTGGAACCGCTTTTTTCAGCAATGAGGGACTCTAGCATGGTTCTCACCATGTATAGCTGTGTCATTTAAAAGGAAACATATTTGCACATAGAGAAATACAAGAAAGGAGAGAGCAAAGTACACTCATGTAAAACATAAAACCCCATTGACCTTTCAGAGATGCATTTTACCCTCCTTGCCTTTTAAAATGCTACCTACATGTCCCCCCTGTAGCGAACAGCCTCAAAACTAACACGCCAAGGCAGAATTCTTAATTTGCCAATATATTTAAAAATGTAGATGGTACTGCCAAACTGCAGTGAACCCATCGCAAACAATCAGAATGTACATTTTGCTAAAGTTGTGGGTCACTGCACTTTGCACATCATCGCTGCTCTCTGTACTGCCTTATTAACAATGCTACAGCAGGTAGAGCAATCCAAAAAGTGAAATTGTAGCCTATACAGAATGAAAGAATCCATACAGGACAGAATTTGTAATTATTATTATACAGGATTTATATAGCGCCAATAGTTTGCACAGCGCTTTACAATATAAGGAAGACATTACAGTCACAATACAATTTAAGACAAGATGGTAAGGAGGGCCCTGCCCGTGAGGGCTTTTATCATGTTCATTTATATTGGGGAGATTTTAGGAGATTACGCTCTCCTGGAGTGGGGACTTGTTAGTACTAGGAGCATGTATTTTCACTGATGAAGAGTTCATACTAATCTAACATTTAGGTAATCGGACCATCTGACTGTAGCAGTTGTGCAGCACTGACTTATAAAAGGCAGGTATTTCACACAAGGCTCAATTAGATAGTTTTGGTGCAAAATGCTGCATAGTGACTGCAGGAAAGACATTTAAATAACATCTAAAAAGGGACAGGGGTGTAAAACGCCAATTTCAGTTGTCGTTTGTCACAATCATTTGTTTGGAAAACCAGTTTTCTTCAGAACAAGTACAGAATAAATTCAATAAAATGGTGCAAAAATAAATATCGGCTTACCACCAAAGTTTAATAGAGTTGGATAGGTGTAGGACTGCCTCAGAAACTTTTTTACCACAAGCAACAACTTTTCCATCCCAAGAGACTTGAGCTGTTTGAACAGCTCTACAGAGCCCAGGGACTCTGTCATTGTGCGCACCAAGAAGAGCTGAAATCCAACATATGGGGGAATACAGGAGATCAGGAAAAGGGAACAAGGGAAACATGGAGAGGTAGTGGTAGAAGGAGGAAAGCAAAAGGGAAAGAATCATTAGTGTGTTAGATAAACAGACCTACCTCTAATCTGTCTTCCACTTTTTTGAACAAATACTGTATCAAAGAAAGCCTCATCTAAAAATATGTCTCAACTTGCATCATTTTTAGCATTACAAGGAAGTAATTTATGTGCTGGAAATATTTTTTATTATAAAGTTGTATTTATGGACTGTAATTAATGTGTCCACTTTTACACTAGTACAGAGTACAGACAGGCCACCAAAGGGATCATCTCTATATGGTGAATGCAGGTTTTAGCACTCACTAGCACAGCGCTGACAAATTCTGGACACTCCTTGAAAATGAAGGTACACAGCAGTCAGCAAAATGCCAATGACTACAGATAAAAGGGGTTTATCATAGAACAGAGCTGGACAAATACAGGAGCCAGGTAGCAAAGGCTCCTCAAAAAAAAAAAAAAAATACAGCTGGCACCTATATCTTTTAAGGTTTTCTTTAGTTGTTGTCAATAAAGATGAATTCTAAAAAAAATCCTGCTGGCTCCCCGATTGGACAGACTAGCTTCTGGATTAAATAATGATTTGTCCACTTCTGCCATAGAGAGCAATTCTCTTTGTGATTACAGGTGCATTCTACACTTATGAGCCCAGGAACCATTGACAACAACGAGACAGGGGCCTCAAAAATCTTAACAGAGTACAAGCCCTATTTAGGACCAGCTGAAACTGTACTGTGTAGAAAGTAGGCTGATGTTATAGAAAGGTCCCAAAAAAAAAAAAAAAAATACAGCTGGCACCTATATCTTTTAAGGTTTTCTTTAGTTGTTGTCAATAAAGCTGACTTCTAAAAAAAATCCTGCTGGCTCCCCGATTGGACAGACTAGCTTCTGGATTAAATAATGATTTGTCCACTTCTGCCATAGAGAGCAATTCTCTTTGTGATTACAGGTGCATTCTACACTTATGAGCCCAGGAACCATTGACAACAACGAGACAGGGGCCTCAAAAATCTTAACAGAGTACAAGCCCTATTTAGGACCAGCTGAAACTGTACTGTGTAGAAAGTAGGCTGATGTTACAGCTACAAGAGAGAATTCCAAGAGCATGCAGACAGTGTCATTGCTAGTTTAACTGAGAATCAGCAGTTTGCTTAGTATAGTTACCAGGTAGAAAGAACAGCACTAGGCTCATTAGCAGGAAAGCAACACACAGAAGATTGCAGACCAATAACCCAGAGAGAGATGCACATCACTTCCAGCCATCAAAAGCAAAGCAGAAGAGAAGAGAAGAAAACATTGGTGGTAATCGATTGGTTCAATTGGAAGGTTACCCTGGTCATTTTTTAATTAGATGAAGCTGAAATCACATCGTTCCCGTCTCCCTCTATCATTAGAAAATTAAATGATAAAAACATACAATTAAGCAACATTCAAAGTAATGACAAATTTAACCAAAAATACACATATGGTTAAGAACAATTATATCAGAGCTATGGATCAAGGACAATCATGTGCACTGACACATGCAGAAAATTAATACAATTTTGACTTTTCAATAACTAATGTATTAGAATATGTGACCATAAAAAAATGGTCTGAAAAGAAGCAAATGTAGCGTCCCACATATCATAAACAGGGACACTACACACTATTCAGCATGCAGCAAAAAAAACTAAACACAAACTTATTGATAAAACTACCAATAATTTACAAGATATATAATGTTATAGCTCAACCACCTGACATCAGTCACTTGTTACTAACATGCCTGGACTCCTAGTAGAATTGTTTGCTGTCACCAAGTACAGAAGCTAGGAAATACTGCTCTAATCATACTTAACCCAATTATTATTTATTGTAACCTGGGTAACACAAACTGAGGATACAATGGAGACAATGCATAAGCAGAGGTTATTTTCAGTGGATGTCAAAGCAATCAGAGGATTAAGAGGCAGAAACAGATGAGTCCTATGGAAATCTCAACTGTTCCTGGATTTGCCCCTTCCACAACTTTAACACTCCTATTGGTTCCTCAATGTGATGAATGGCTTTCCTAACCAACAGTCATCTACTGTGGGAGTGGCCATGCTTAGTTCATAAACCCATAGTCTTTATAGATGCCAGTATTTCAGTATCTACTAATCGTTGTACCATATAATTTTTACTGACTGTAACCTGTGCTTATGCATTTTTTTCATTGTATGGTCACTGACAGTTTCCTTTAAATGTAATTACTTCTATTTCTACTTATTTTATTTCAATAACAAATAAAGTAGAACTTTAACTATCAACCCTAATCACTGAAAAAGAATGGATGATGTACCTGAGTGCTGGATGGTCCTACTGCACGTCTTGGAACTTTAATGTCAAAGCCTGTCTTAGGGTCTTTTTCCCCTCTAAGAGCAGGGTCATTAAATGGTTCACATCCTGCACCCCAGTCACATACTGTTTTTCTGATTGCCTGAAGCACACTACAACAGAAAGAAGTAGACTTTATTAGTGATATCTGATAAGACAGTGGGTCAGCACAAACTTGCAGTGTTCCCAAAAGCATGCAAAAAAAAAAGTTATGCAATAAACAAAAATGGCATATCTGTTGACGGCAGTTTAAACCAACCTAGGACAAACGAATATGGAGAATAGATCTGGATCAAAAACATCCAAAACTGGATATATCGAACAGTATATTTTTCAGTTCCTGTGAAAAAAAAAAGGGGTACATAATATGGGTGCTTCACTTTACATATAAAACATGTCCATTGGTATTACCTTTGAATGACATTCTTCTTTTTTTTGATGGCCTGTCTTAATGGTTCCCGAAGGGTAACCTGTGCGAAGTCTTGCAGTGCTGCATATATTGTGTGACGGATGGCATGGTTAAACACACTCTCCATACGACACATGAGAACTTGCAAACCTTTAATCATAGCAATCACCTAAAATAAATAACAAAAGGGAAAAAACCCTTAAAATTAGATGTAAGAGGAAGTAATTGTTCATTATTTTATTTGTTAAACAACCAAGACAGTAGACTAGTAAAAGCTACTATAAGTTTGTACTTCTGTGCATAGATAAAACTGACAGGTAAGTTACATGTACACTTAACTCATGGACAGATACAAAAAGTAGTAGAAATGACACAAGTTCAAAATTGGTCTTATGTCACAAACCTAAAGAATAACAGTATTTCTAATACAAATTAGCTCTTTTAACATATTAAAGTGACCTTAAACCCTCAGATTTTTTTTACATAAAACAATACTGTAATGTGTGCCTTACTGTAATCCATTGTAGTTTCACTTCTCTTTGCTGCTCTTCCTTTTAAATCTGTATCTGTTCTCATGCTGGGCAGAACTTCTGTTTTGCAGCAGACTGCCTCTGAAATGGATACATGGTGTCTGTGTGTAGGTTTGCAACCTGAGCCAGCACTACAGGAAGAGGCACTCAGCTGCAAAGGGAAGTTCTCCCCAAGCATGAGAAGACATGAGAATTTAAAAGGAAGAGCAGCAAAGAGAAGGGAAACAACCATGGATTACAGTAAGGCACACATTACAGTATTGGTTTACGTTACAAAATCTGAGGGTTTAATGTCAATTTAAGGAACACCAAACAGCTTTGAAGTTATAACCTCTAAGCTCTGTCTTTTCTTTTCATGTGGTTCGAAAGCAGTCATTACAGGCCCAGGCTAACAAAAATCATTGCTTTGTCTAAATTCAACCTGTCTACACAGATTAGCAGCCCAATGTAGAGAGACATGCCTGCAGATCAGGAACGGGAACATGAAAATATGGCAGGCAACTGTTCAGCATAAGTGATTTATTTATTGTAACACGAACAACGGGTTATAAAACTATGACATATTCTGTAACACAGTAATCAATAGAGAGACAAAAAATAACTGCTAGTGTGACAGCCCCTACACAAGTTTAGCTAAGCCCTGTTCACTCCATGTCATGGGTTTCCAACAGAATGCACACAGAGAGATTCTCCGATATTCTCCTTGTTCCGAGTCCTGGTTTGCAGACATGGGTCTGTCTATATGGTGCTGTTGTTCATTTCAATATTTATTTAGACTAGCTACAGCCTTTGATGCCAGTTCTTAAAACACAAGGAAAGAAATGGCAGAAGAAAGGTTACATATGCAAAGCTGCTATATTAATAAATACATTGCACAGAAAACTAGAACAATCATATAATCAATAAACAATATGTTAATACACCACTTTGTTCGGTTCCCCAAATGGCAATCCATGTGTAAAAAGAAGTATAAAAAAACATGAAGAACATTTTCTGTCAAATGCACGTTAACATTAATTACATAAGAGGTAAAAGAATAGCACACTGGATACATACCTCTACCAAAGCAAACTTCTCCTCACTGGTGTAGTTGTAGCGTGTTGCCCGCTCATACTCTTCAGCATTGTCCGGGCAGTCTTTGTTAGAATATTTGTCAGTTGGGTGCACAAGCTTCCAGGAATACTATAATGAAAACAAGCTCAAGAAGCTAAGTATTCATTAGAAAATGCATATTAAAATGTTACTAAATCCTAATCCATATCAAATATAAATACTATATATCAAGTCTTGAAACTCCTGTAATTCTGTATGCAAAATAATAGTGAAGATTAAACTACGCCGTCCAACATATACCATTATGTTGAGTTGCATCAGTTATGGCTTTTGACAACAACAAATAATTACAAAATATAACACATCCCATAAAGCAAATAAACACATAAAAGTATACAGTTAATATGACCTGTTGGCCAAATTACATCATATTCTGATGTTCCAAATTTAGTTCTGTGTGGTGCTTCTCGTAGCTTGATTCACTATGGGAGACATATACTGTGTGGGTGAGCCCGCCAACAAAAGACCTGATAAAGTTTAAAGAAAAGGAATTTCTAGTCCAAGCCAATATAATTTTATTACACCTACCGCCTGAAAGGTAAATGTACCCTCTATATTAGAACATTTTCACTGTAATGACAACAGGCTCTAAAAGGAGGAACGTTAAATTCACTTAAATGTTATGCTTTGTTATTTCCTCCAGTAGCATAGGGCCCCTACAAGTTCACTGTGAGTTAAATGTGGGCATTTTCTTTGATGCTTTTGTTCTATTAAAAGTATTTTTTTTTTTTTATTCAATGTATAGCCAAAAATTTATTCTCAAGCTCCTGATCTTGTAAAGATCTTCTGGTGCTCGGAGAGTAAATACAAAGCTGCTCAGCTCTAGTGAGAAAGTTTCATAGCACTTTGTGTTACGATAGTAAACATTGTGAATGGCGCTAGTGATACGCTTCCTACCTCCCTGTTATTCCTTAATACAATAATTTACTAACAGGAAACAGTGGCTTCAACGTTCCCTATTACTGAAAAAACGTAAAGAGTGACAGCTGTAAGAAAGCACAACCCATCTTTCATTTATTAGCTAAGCAGTACAATCAAGCACTGACACTTAAAACAGGAGACTTTGCAAGCAAGGCAGCTAATTCTTACCAAAGAATGAGGGCCTATGGACTTTAGAGTTGACACAGCAGTTATTTACCAAGGAGTATGGAGAATTTGACACTAATAAGGAAATTTCAGTGCAGTTTGTAACAGTAAGACAGCTCAGCACTGGAAGGGATAGTACATCAGTGGAGAATGAGAGGACAAGCAGTACGTGTTGGAGTGAGAAAAGCTGCTTTACAGTTGATGACACAGAAAACAGTATTGCTTGCTTATAGGGGTGGCACAAGCTTATTACAGCTAAATTCAGTACTAGGGACAGAATTCTCAGTAAGAACCTGGAGGGTACAATGTGGCTTTGAAGGAGAACTATGGGGTCAGTGCTTTTTCCCATAGTTCTCGTAAGGGTCACGGGAGGACACAAACTAGCGTTCTCCCGTGACCCAAAGCTCAGTATACCGCGAGCTACAGCTCCCAGTATACTGAAACCGCCGCAGCCTGGACGAATCCTGACATTACTGTCGAGATCCACCCAGCTGCATGATTGACAACTGGCTCTGCCTATCTAGAGGCGAGGCAGAGCAAGCTGTACCGCTGGAGGATTGGACAGGGGAGGGGGGGAATCCCTGCAGGGAGCCGTGAGTGACAGTCACGTCTCTCTGCAGGGACAGGATCGAGAAATGAGCGAGCGACGGTATGTGTTCGCTCACTTTCCGATCAATTGAGTTTCTTATTATAGTGTATCTAGTCAAGCTACTGGTTGAATTCTTAACCATTAGAGTAGCTTCCTCAAAAACTAAGGCAAACCAAACATGAGCTTATATTTCCAAGAATGAAAATAATTAGCAGCATACTGGATTGGATATGTGAAAATGAGCAATTGCTAGTTCTTTGGTAACACTAAGGATTAAACTCCTACAAAGCCCAGCCGCCACGAATGGTGGCTGAATTGGCTGCATTACATGTAAATATCAGAATGTGTATGGTAAACCAAACCAGTATGTATGTTTATGGATGCACAAATCTGGTATGCAACCAAAATGGATACTTCACACGTGTTTGAATACCTACCACTTCCATCACATGAGCACTCCACTGTGATAAGAGCTGAAGTCCCTGCAATGCCAAGTCAAAGAGTTTCCGGTATTCAGCATCGGTCTTTTGTGTTTCCTGACGACCAGATCCAGTGACGACCTACAGTAATAAATAGCTTGGAATATTACTGCTTTCCAATTGTCAAATATCCTAGATCATAAAAACAATTTCAAGTGTGACAAACACCTAAAAAGGAATCTAAAATGTTTGATTATGTTATTTTTAGTTTTAAGCCAACAGTGGTTTAGATATTTTTTTAATTATTTAAACCTGCTGGCTGCGAGTATTTATAGAATATTCATATGTAATAGGTCACATTTAATTGATTAAAATATTTTTTTTGCTGAATAAACACTTTCCACTCCCTTTACAAACAGCCTTTGTATCTGCAGTTTTACTCTACAGTTGCCCTTAGGCCTTAGCAGACACCTCCAAAAAATCAGCATCAATGGAAGAGTCTACTGTTGCCCCGATGCAGTAAAAGCAGGATTTGGGGGTCCTCTCTGAGGTCACAGACACGGATGGCCTCATCCAACAATAGAAAGTATGGTGTAGGTCTGACCACTGTCTAATACCAGCATAATCCTGCACAGTATGGCTATGTGACACTGCTGATCCTCCTAACAAGAATTTGGTAATGCCCTCTCAGATTCATGTGCAGCCCATAATTAGGATTTCTTGGACCATGGGGAAGGTAATGTTCCCACCAACTAAAATTGTCAAAATTAGTTATTCTGTTAAAGCAATCTGCAGCAATAAAACAAATACAGAAACATTTAAATCTTCTGCTATGAAACAGGGCCAAATACATGCTTTAGCCCTGCCCATCCACCAGGAAATCCAGACAATAATGCAAAAAAGACCATCATCCATGGCACATAAGCAATACAGACTATATTATACAACACTCATATCACTTTAGTAAATCGTTACTGTAAATTACCAATGGGATAAGTAGCAAGATGTCAAAACTTACTTCGCTATTGCTGTAGCGAGCCAACTCTGAGATGAAGCGCATGTGGTCTTCTCTAATCTGGATCATCTGCTCACAGATGTTGTACTGAGGACTACTGCTGGATGAGGTGCAAGTCCATCTGTTTCACAGCAGCAGGAAGAACATTAATACCTTACAAAACCTTAAGAGCCTTCATCTAAAAAGAATGCTACAGATTTGCTTATTACAATGTATTACTGCATCTCAATATGTTTGAACTTTATTATTTAAACTATTATTCCGATACCAATTGCCTAATTACTTTAGCAATTAAAATCATGAAGTATGCATAGAATTAAAACAGAAACGTAAAGAAAAAATAGCCTTAATCGTTCATCCCTTTTCCATGGTAATGTAACAAAGTATATTCCATTTTTAGGCAGATGTTTAAAGCTTATGGAACCAATGCTTATCAACTAAGTATATATAATCCACAATATAGTTTTCAAAAGATGTATGTAAAACTCTTCTTACAAAATTCCACTTATTTAAAATGGGCCGCCTGGCTGCCTCTAACTGCACACACTGTGATCAGACACACGCAAATATTTTACACCTCATCTGGTGCTGCCCAGTTCTAGCCACGTTTTGGAAACAAGTGACTAGTATTCTTACTATCCTAATTATTATCGTAATTCCATGCAATCCCACACTCCTGCAATTTGTCTGTTTAGTTTGTTGGCTGAAGAGCAATGGCCTCAATACAAGAGATCATTTCTAAAGGAAAAATGTAAGTGTATCTACACTTTTGCAGAAAAATTGGAAACACATCTACTTTATATTTGTGACATGTTCCCATTCACAGCATAACTTTAAAAAATTACATAATTGCAGCTTACCTTTTTTTAGACACTCTTTCTGCAAACTCCAGGACTGAAATATCCTTATTTCTTGCCGTCTGGGGGTTGAGGGGAGTTTTGTTTTACATAATTAAATCTATCTGTACTGTGCTGGCAGATTTAATTATCACCTGTAAACTAGATGAGCAGAATGTCTGTCCTAACACAGAGTTCATGAGAGGGGACCATTCTGTCCTAACTCTTACTATTAGGAAAGACAGAGTTTGCTGTAACTGAAACAGAGAGAAGCTTGCAAAGGCCTGCAACTCAAAACACCTCTAAAAAGGTAAGACATTTTTTTGAAAAAAATATTTTTAGATCTGCTGTGTGAATAGGAACACATAACAAACATATATGGGGGTTTTCTCAATTTGTGACTGCAAAAGTGGAAATACACTTTAATTTATTGCCTGCAAAACTATAGCTACCAGGTGGATCAACCACTCCCCCTACTATTTTTGATGGAAGCATCTTGTAAATCAATTCTCTACAAGAAAAAGTAATGAAAGGGAAATGTAACTGCCCCGAGAAGTTCCATAATACCTTGGAGTAACTCCACAATTATGTAGGAATCCAACTAATTACCCCATTCACCATTTCTAAATCTCTATTTAATTATGACTATGCCTTATGATTACACTTTGATTAGCATGTATATTCTGACAAACACATGGTAGACTCTCATGTTTGCAATTTGATTTATAGGTTACAAAAAATAGGATTTTGGTAGGATCCCGGGTCCTGGCCACGAACCGAGCCACCCGCCGATTGAGACGAGACGCCAGGAGATCCACGTCCGGGAACCCCCAGCGAAGGCAGAGCTGGTGAAACACCTCCGGATGTAGCATCCATTCTCCCGGGTCCACTGACTGGCGACTGAGATA